CTATTCTACAGCAATGTACTCACATCCACAACAAACAAATAACAGTGTCTTGAATGTGACTCCACTAAAAAAAACAAACAACAAAATAGGAATACAAAGAGTTAACTACATAGTAAAGAGATGTGTGCAAAGAAATTCATAGTGCATTATCTTCTCCCCAAAACAAAGCCCTCTTTAAACAATGGCACATTTTGTTAGTTACTCTGGTTTACTGTTCAAATGCAGCCATTCGGTTTTAGTTTCATGAGCAGAGCGACGTTTTCTACAAGGTATGAGGAAATAGACTCACTATAAGCTAGTAACGTGAAAAGCAAATCTAAAAAAAAAAAAAAAAGGAAAAGAAATAAGAAAACAATCCTTAAAATTGGAATGTTTAAATAATAAGAAAATGAATGTTTACATGGTTAGAAAACCTGCAAGAAATTTAAGGACGTATCCAAACATTTGTCAATATTGTCAGCACAGGCACTTTCATTTTGATATAGTGTTTGAAATGCAATGTTTGAGTTACCTCATATCCTTATACAAACCATAGACATCAGTAAAGATACATCAGGGTAGGTGGGATACTATAACAACATTTAGCATATTGTTATACTATTCCACCCACCTTAATGAGGATCCTTTAGGTGTGGCGATGCCGTAGCCTTTGGAATCCAAATTCCCACCAACTTTCATGGTATCACAGGGTTTCCTTTGTTCGATGTACTCATTCATGGTTGACTCCAGCAAGTAGGCATATTTTCCTTTGGACTTCCGTACTCGAGCTACCCCTTCTGCTGTAGTCCTCACAAACACAGATGGTTCTGCACTTTTCATATAGGTCCACATTTTATCAAACACTGCAATTTTAGATCTCTGTGGAGACAATATGAAGCCTAATTAACTAATCTTTACGTAGACAGCAAAAGCACACCTGGGAAAATATGATTATGTCATTTTTAGGCAAGTTTATTACTCAATGTTGAAAGATAGCAGCACCTACATTCTCTTTTTCTATTAATATTATGCTGTCGTATTTTTTTTGGTATTTGTTATATTTATATTTGTTAAAGATTTGAAGCAAACAGTGCTACTTCCACTTTATAAGAGGTGTGCCAGATTGAAAGATATATATTCAAACTTCAGCAAAATAGTCATCAGAAAATCCCACTCAAACAAGATGATCATCTGTTTTGCAGCTCTCTGCAGCTCTGCGTTACGCAAACGAGAGGTGAGCTGAAATGTCTCAGTGGCACTAGAAAACTTCAGATTGCTCCACAGAGGAAACTAACATTGCTGTGAAACCTGAAGGGAATGTTAAATAGCGAGGCACCTGTTCCAAGGTTGTTCGTATTTGTAACACTCCACATGCCTCACCAACTCATCTCAGCAGGGCAGGGTTTTCTCTCGGAAAGATTGTTACCTGAAGTATGTTTCTTTGCTTTAACCAATTGGTAGTTATAACTATAATCGGCAGTTTTAACTACCAACTGATTGTTATTTTTTAACCTGGGAAGAAATAGAGGAAAACAAAGTTTGCCACCTAGATGTCACCAAAAAGGAAGCAGTGTTATCAAAGAAACAGCAGGTAGAATGAGACATACGGCAAGTCAAGGTCAGTAACAATCAACACTTGGAAAGAGTATATGAAGCTGGATTTCTCATATTGTCACACACTGCACAATCCTAACGAAGAATTAAGAAAGCATAGGTTTATATCATCTCCTCCTGTGTAAGCTGAGTAGAAAACCCAAATGTGCTAACAGCCTACACTGTCTAATCAGAGTATCTGTGAAACTACCGGGGTAGTTGACAATCCACCCTAAATGAACTTCTTAAAAAGACAATCTAAATCATGACATGAAGTAGACAACAAATTACTGCCAATGTTGCATGTAACTCAGCTATCATCACATTTCCACTTTGCTGTAGAAACCCAAGACCACTTGGTTTTGCAGTTATCTTAGTTCTCTGTGAGATGTTACTATTATATGTGTAAGTATACCAAATCTCTACTGTGATAAAAATGTATTAGAAGCACTTCTCTACTAGGGCTTCTTGTAACATACACTTCAGAACTGCAATTCTGCTATAAATATAACATCTACAATCATTCCATTTTAAAAACAGATGAATCAAGTATAAAAGCATTAATAATTCCCCTACTATGCCCCCAGGCTTCACCGTTCTTGTAGTACAGCATTATCATTTTCTCAAACTTACCTTTCTCTTCCTGTCCAGAAATGTAGTCTATGAAGCTTCTGACGCTCAGATTTCTCCATGGTCTCTGTACATCTACTAGTATTAAAAGTTCTGGCAGTACTAAGAACCACTGAAAGTTTTCTAACATCTAAATATTCTAACTATTACCAGAATCTACATGTATATTGGCACAGCTTGCTTTTTGAAAGTTCCCTTGCAGATCAGTTGTTGCATACTTTGATTTGTTCATCTACACATACTCAGTATACCCATTAATATCAAAAGAGTTGGATGTACTCAGCATGACTAGAATGACCGAGAAAAATAACTGTGCACTGAAGACACAGTGGGTTTCTCAGGTTCTTGGAACATCTGCCATACTGCATATGCATTGTTCTTGTTCCATCCAAGAAGATTCTGAAAACTAGGGAAATCCCAAAAAATGGTATATTGCACCACATTTGAAAAGCCAGTTCACAAAGTAACCTATCAGCTATGAGTAAAACTCCAGTATAGCACTTTTCTCTGCCTATAATTTACCTGATACCTAGATAGATACAGGTGCCTCTAACAGATAGCAAATGGCATTGCACGCCTGAAAGACTCTCCCACCTACAGATCCAAGTCAGTCAGGCCATTTAATGTCTGAGAGACTCTATCAACTTCACCAGAGCATATAAAGAAGTCTAAATCCTAAGTGCATAGCTTTCTATCACCTGTTCCCTGAGTCCTGCTGGTGTTGCTCACTTCCCTGGAAGCAGAGCTACCAGAGGTTCTAGCTCTGCAGGGTGCTCAATCTCCTCCTTCAGGCTTGCACTCCAAAGCCCTGAGCCTCATATGGAGAAGCTTGATCTTCCCTGAATTCTCATTCTCTAAACTTCCTCTCTAATTAAACGCAGATGCTCCATCCATTTAGCAGCATACATCCAACTTGGTGCATGGGATTTACCACTGCAAACTAAGCAAGGGTTATCAAGCTTCCAACAGTGTTATAAAAATATTAGTGATACTTCATGAATTACCATAGGTTTGATTTATAA